AACGGAAGGGCTGCTTTTAAGAAACATGCTTGGTGCCAGCATGGTGCGGCGCTTGGCAAGCTTGGCGCCGTCAGCGAGGAGGCCTTCGGCGCTGCCGCGATGCGTGGGCCCTGCCCCGGCCGAGCGTCTGCAGACAGACATCGAGTGGCGACGGTTCCGAGCAGCCATGGAGGCAGACCACCCGAGCCTGGGCAACTTGCGCACGGCGGTGAGGTCATGTAGCCTCGTGCAGAAGGTTTACCGTCGTGCCTTGGACGGCCTGTTGCAAGATCTCCTACAAGAGGAGATCCTGACACAGGCTGCAGTGCTTCGGGATGCAGGCCATGAAGTCCCTCCGGAAGATCTGCTGTGCCTTATCCCAGCAGAACTTCTGACCGGAGAGCTCGGTGAGGAAATCGAGGCGATCGCATTTGATGTCCGGGTTGCCCAACAAAAGGCCGAGGCCAAGAGAGAGCTTCTGGTACAGGAGGACAGGAACAGAATGGCAGAGGCAGAAAAGCAAGAGTCAAAGCAGAGACGTCGTCTGTGTCGCTCCACGCACGACAAGACCAGACAAGAGATGCACCATCACTACGAAAGACCGTGGTGAGAAGAGTTTTCCACGGACTTGGAGTCTTCTCGGATGAGCAGTCCTGCGGGCACTAGAACACCTTCCGAAGAACCTTCAGCAAGGCGAGCTGTAGACCTGGCCAGGCCGAGCGGAGCTGTAGAAAAGCAAGGCCATGATACATCAAAGTCTCTACCTCCCCTACTGGCCCTACTGAGTTGACGGGAGGGCTGCGAAAGAAAGGATCCATGAAAGGCAGATACCGAGGCGAAGGCCAAAAAGGCAAGGTGCTGCGCTGCTGGGCAAGTCTGTCATAGCACGAAAGCATGTGGAAATTGCCAGCTTCAGTTGAATAATCTCGGGATGCGAAACCCTGCCAAGGGAGCAGTGCTTCCGCAGGACTTTGCGATCACAAGGGCTTGGAGCCTCTCTACCCCATCTACCAGCATGGGCTGATGTATGGGACTGCGGAAGCTCGAGAGTTGGCGGCAAAAGGCTGGATGTAGGTGACATCTCGGTGTGGTTCCTGGTAGAAACACGGAATCGCACGGACCGCTGCAGAAGCCTGAAAGGTCTTGGCGAACTCGTCAACCACACAACGGAAAAGGCATTGGCACCCTATGCTGTCAAGATCACAGGTGGGAGGCGCAGGCCGCAAGTACCGCCGAGGGCTTCAACATGGGCTGAAAATAGCAGGTCCCTTGATCCGCATTGTCGGTGACAAGTTCCCGGGCAATGTCAAGAAGGCGATCGTGGACACTTTGCAGGCCCTCCTTATCCGAGGAGGTGGGAGCGTTCGAATCCAACAATCCCGAACTTCGTTTACAAGTCTAGTTCTCCCGGCACCACCGGAAACATGCTTGCCTTTGCCAGCATGGTGAAGTAAGTATCACACCTCACCTTATCCTGCAGGTGAGACGCTGAAGCCTTTCCTGCCGCAGCTGCAGACAACCTACGTGAAGTGTCTCACAGACCCACCAAATTCAGAGGACAGCCTCACGGTGATGTGTGAGAGCTTCAGAGTGAGAGCTGGGGTGAATGCGAGCAGTTGCCCAGCAAGTGTCTTGGCCGTCCCATGAATGTGCATGCTGCTCCACAGCAATCATGTCCACAGTCACCCTGAGATTTTATGAAATTCATGGCGCTGCCCGGGTCATTGTAGATGGTAGAGTCAGAGGGTTTCCATAAAATGCGGCAGGCAGTTCGTCGCAAAGCCGCCGAGTCCCTTGGACTTCTGGCACGAAGGCCTGGCAAAAGCTGGCGATGCAAACAGCGGCTCAACAAAACCTTGTTCACTCGCCTGTCGTCGGAAGCAAGTGTCTGGAATTTTGGTGCCTGGGGGAAAATGTCTCGCATGATGACATGTCCTGCTACCTGTCAGGGCCGCGCGCACCGAGCCGCTTATCAATGAGCGCCTTCGTCATGCACCTTGTGGCGATAGGCGCACAGTGTCGAACGTAGCGCAGATGGCAAGGCTCAGCGCTTTCCCCGGCAACTCAGACCCAGCTGCGCGAGTTGCACTCGTCGTCGCCCTGGGTGAGGCAAGCAAGCTCCACAAGAGTACGCTTTTCTGCCAAGGAATTTTTGATGGCAGTTGTTCGGCGACCAAGCCGAGAAAAGACGAATGATCTAGCTACCTAGTTCCTGCATGACTCTAAAGTCCTGGGCCAGTTGTATCATTGGCCCTTTGACTCTGACTGTTCTGAATGTTGAAGCTTCACATGCTCCCCCCATCATGCCACCAGCGCCCGAGCTGCTTGGACAGCGTGGTGATGGCAGGTGCTGCTCAATGTGAAGCAGAGTCCAAGTGCGGCCGTCCAGGTGCATGTGCCGAAAAATGACGAAAGACGTTCCATGAGTCTTATACATCGTCCTACGTGCATTCCATTCATGCAGGTAAAGGCCTGCCAGTTAATTAATGACACAGACTGTGCGTGCACTCCTTGCAATTGTGGGCAGTAGCCAGGAGAAGGCCTTGAATGCCGTGGTTTCCCGTGGCTCCACTGCCGACGCTACAGCTGATGAGCGGCAGGCGCGAGAGTGTAATCAGAGACGATTCAAGGTGACTCGCGGTCCTTTTGATGTAGGCTGCCTGTTGACATTCAGATGCGGTGAAGCCCAAGGCCTGCGGCTGGGCTCTGGGCATCTTGCTGAGGAGGCATATGCCAGCGGAAGAAGCCGTGGAAGCATTCAACGAGAAGGCCAGGACTGAAATCTGAATGGTGCCTCATTTGCTGCCTTCATGCCTTGCCGGTGAAGAGGGATCGGCTGCGGAATGCTGGGGATTCTGCCAAGTATGTAAGCTTCGGGACCAGTGTACGAGTCAAGTTGGCGACAAGGTATCGCCGTCCGTCACCGAGAAGGGTCCCCAGCGCAGCTTTGCAGCTTTCGCCCTAGCAGGCCTGAGTTTTTCCAGCCGCGAGGAGGTCAAGCAATCGCACCGCATCATCATAAGTTCATATCATTTCACCGTGTTCCCTGTGGCCCCAGGGATTTGTTGGATACAGCAGCCGAACCTCGCGGAGCCAGCCGAAGAGTCCTTGATGAAGCCTGCAGAGACCCCGAAGCAAGATGACCAAGAAGAAGTCGACGCAACGAAGCTTCGAACCTCGGTGCTTCCGCCCCTACCGGTTTAGTTTTCGCCAGCTGAGGACGATTTGTCGGTGTCCTGCCTGCCGCAGCTCTTGAAGGACAAGGATGCCGAGGTCCGGCAGCCTGATGAAGCTACTTTGAAGACCTATATGGGACTTTCCGAAAATTAGGGTACCTTCTTTCTGGGGTCCTTATAATAAGGATCCGACTATTTAGGGTACTATATTAGGGTCCCCTATTGTCGGAAACCCCATAAATTGCGCGAGCTTCAAAGCAGGTGCAGGCTGCTGGACTGGCCTTGGCTGCCAGTTTGGCGAAGTTACATGCGCAGCGACTTTGCAGCATGATAGTGGAGTGGTGTTGCTCACAGCGATGTTGCATGTACTTGTACATAGTGGTGCTTGCAATCAATGCCTGGATCTTGCATTTCGCCATCAAGTCTTTGCGCACTGAGGAGCTCTGGATCTTTGAGCTTTGAGCCGCTCAAAGCAGCAGCGGAACGTATCGCCGTGCTGATCGTTTCAGGTTGCTTGGCTTGGCTCTTTGGGGCAGATGTTTACAAGTCGGCTTCAACTTTGTGGGTCACAAGATGCCGCTTGCTTGCTCAGGCGATGCGGCTATCCCGGGCCGACTGCCCGTCCTGGCTGCGCGGCACTTCCTTGCAGCCTGCACGCTCGAGGTGCGGCCCGTGACCTGAAATCCGTAGCATCCATTGACATTGTGATCAAAGATCGTTTTGTACAGCGGCCGACAGGCAAAAGGAGTCTCCGTGAGTGTCGCTGCTGCGCACGTGGCTGCAGCCGTGGCACAGCGCAGTGCCGCCTGGGAGGCCACAAGCTCCTAGCTCCTACCAGTAGCGGAAATACGATAGTCTAGAATTGAAAATTGGGTCAGGATGCAGAGGACGGCGAGCGTGCTTTGGCGGCTGCCTTGCCTGCTGAGAGCCGCGATGAGGTGTGCTACGGCGTGCTTGACACTGCACGTCGCTTTTGCCCCGCACCGAAGAATCAGATGGCACTTGTGCAAAGTGGCCGCGTCGCACATTGTGGCCAGGAGGGCGCAAAAGCAGCGCTGGAAAAGTTGGCCGGATGCCTTGATGGCAAGGCAGGCAACAGTCGTGCAGGGTTCGCGGCATCCGGGTTATTGCACTTGAGCTAAGCTGCGCCAGAATACGTGCTTTGTTCATCTTTACCCATTGCCACACAATGACTATGCCACGCTGTACTGAAAATTTGTCGACTGGACAGCCCTGAGGCATCGCAGGCGTTGAAGACCTTCGGAGCAGCAAGAATACGACACTCGGCCAACTTGCAAACGGCTCGTTCCAAGAGCCCCTCCACTCAATGCCATGCATCGTTCCATGACTTCTCCGCTGCTTCAAGGAAGCCTGTCGTTCTTCACTGGTTGCAGCGATTTCGCCTGGGACCTGTGAAGAGGACAGTGTGAATCTGGGCAAGCGAGGCGATCCTAAGACAGGCTGGGCACACAACCAAAGAGCCTTGCAATAGCGAGTCAGGGTGCACAGGACTCGAAAGTGCCGCACGAGGTGGCACGTCTTTGGCATTCTTTAGCCGGCGCAGTTTGTTCCATGGTGGATGAACTGCATTGTGAGCCCAGCAACTGCTCCTGTTCTCTCTTCAGAACTTGATTTAACACTGTCCTCAGCCGTCAGACGACCCACGGTGCCAGCGGATGCCAAAACAAGCCTTTGACCCCATGCCATCATGAATTGAGGCTGCCATATGGCAACATGCCGCAGCTATACGGCTGGATGTTGTGCTCGGGCACAGATGCAACCACACCAGAGTTGGTGCAAAGCCGAAGTTCGAAGTGAGTCGTGACATGTCGTGACAAGTCGCAGGCTGCCCGATTCCTGGCTGCCGTGGTGGACTGCGTGATTGTCCATGCCTGCACTGGGCTTCAGGACTTCCCATGCTTCCTTCGCTCAGAGTCTGGCATGGGGCACTGGCCAGCTCGGTTGTGTGAGATCTTCAGATCCTGCAGGATGTTCCTGCCGAGTTTGTGGCCGGCGGCTCAGATTTTAAGTGGGATTAGGTCGTAAACCGACGTCCAAAGAGACTCAGACCGCATGGTCGCAGAGGCCGCGGGCGCTTGCTGACTCGATTTAAGCATTGACCAGCCATGGTCTTTCAAAACACCGCAAGATCAATCGGAGATGAACACCCAACAGTCGTAAGGCCAGAACAGCCCCGGAAGCATGACAGTGGACTACAAGCGTGAAGGAAGGACCACCGATGCGAAAGACACCATGCTCTGAAAGCGTTTACCGGCCGAAGACGAGTCGTTTGTGAAAGTAGCTGATCATTCCTAAAGGACCCCATAGCTCTCGGCTTTCTGCGAGCAGGGCATCTTGCATAAGACGCAGGTTTCGTAGTGCCAGTCTGCGGCCTTCTTCAGAAGGGTTTGCTGTCTTTTACGCTATTGGTTCCTCCGCTATGATATACCGGGGAGCTTCATCGATTCATGCCTTTTCATGCCCGTAATTAGCATCTTCGACTCTTTCGGCTGTCAGTGACGCTTGTATTCCGCCCTGCACGCCAAGTCCGTAGTCCGTAGGTGTTCATGGCATTACAATCTTCGTGTAATGATCTGACCACACGTGGGCAAGCAAGCATGCGGAGCTGAGTTGCAGCTCTGCTGGGTCGACCAAGAGATCTGCCGAAGTAAAATTGTCAAATTGCCTCACTGCACCACTCAGGAAAGCGTCCCACCTTGCCCCAACTTTCCGTGCCCGAGCCCAGTTCTCAGTATCAAAACAACTCCCAGCCAGGCGGAAGGCAAAACCAGTATCAACAAGCTTAAGGAACTCTGTGCAGCTTCCATGGCACTGGCTCCGCCTTCGCTTCCGGTCCTCTGCCTCTGGCAGCCGGTCGCCTCTCCTTGCAGGGTTTTCACTGAAATTTCTGAGATCCGGGCCCTGCTTGCAGGAGCTTCTCCCTGGTTCAGCGGGCTCCTGGGACTGATTGCCTACCAGAGATTCAGGCAGAGAGCTGCTCGGTGCCGGGCTCGAGCCGGGCATGACGACATTCCGAAGTGTCAGGCCGGAGGGAGACGCCAGGCCGCTGCCAGCATTGCGTTTGGGGCAGCGGCACCGCCTTACCCTGCAACAGCAGAGTCTCAGAGCCGTCAGGGTCAGCTGGTGACCGTCAGAGACCCAGAGACTTACAGTGCTTTGGCCTACAGCCCACGGGATGTCAAAGGACCGCTGCCACTGCTGGTGGTCCTGCCTGGTGCTGGCCGTAACGACAAGGATGCAACCGACCTTGCCAACATCCGAGGGGAGCATGGCGGCCTCGCTCCAAGCCTCATTGCCGAGGGCATCGCACCAGCGGATCTCACAGAGAACTTCGCTGTGCTAGCGCCTTATGCTGCCGGTAAGAAAAGCTTCTACGAAGAACCACGCAAGAAGATGCTTCAATTCATCGCTTGGGCTTGCAGTGACGCGGGAAGAGCTGCAGGCGTGCCAGCCGTGGACCCCAAGCGGCTATTTCTCTTCGGTTTCAGCGATGGAGCTACCGAAGTCATGGAGCTGGCCAGCACAAGGCGCTTTGCAGGCTGCGTTGTAGCAGCCTACGGCTTCACTGGCGAGCTGCCACGTTTAGCTCTGGAGCGGCTGAAGGACATTCCTGTTTGGGTTTTCCACTCCGCCGATGATGTTATCTTTCCAGTGAGCTGCAGCGACAAGCTGGTGAAGCGTCTGAAGGAGACAAACTCTCGCGATGTGGTGCGATACACGCGATATAGCCAGGACCAGGAGGGTTTCACGGGTTCTGTGCGTGGCCACAGCACAGGGATCACCGCCTCCCGGCAGCCGGATCTCTATCGCTGGCTGCTGCAGTTGGGACCACTGGATTGAGTAGCGCTTCGGGCCTTTCTGTCTTAGCTGACTTGATCCGGCACATGGATGCGGAGGGTTTGGACTTGTCCTACACATCGGTGCCATGGTGTGGCGGACAATTGACGAGAGTAGTAGTTCTAATTACTTCTATGGCTAAAATTGCGACGATGATTGTTCATGATTTTTCTAGTACCGCCACAACCACGACAATGCCCGCTACCCACTTCCACTACCACGAGGAGTACTACTTCTGCTGCTACTGCTACTGTCACTGCTACTAACTGGTAACTGCGAGCCGCACCACTAACCACGACTAAATCCACCGACACTAATTCAAAATATCCTACTACAGTATTAACTACATTCTGCATCTACTACCTAGCTACTATTGCTACGAGCTACATCTAGCTACTACTTGATACTACCCTCTTGTGCTCCTATCAGCTTCTCCACTACAAGGTACCACTAGCACTGCCGCTGCCGTTACCGTTGCTACTACGACGACTACTGCTACTGCTGCTGCTGCTGCGACGATGACGAGTACTACTACTGTACTGGTGGTGTTGACACTGCTCCTACTACGACGACGACTACTACTACTCCTTCTGCTGCTGCTAAAGCTACTGCTGCTGCTGCCGCTGCTAAAGCTGCCGCTGCTAAAGCTGCCGCTGCTGCTGCTGCTGCTGCTGCTCTACCATTGCTACTGCACTGCTACTGCTACCTGACCTGCCCAACCGTATTCTACTTTACGACCATGACGACGACTGTCGTCATAGTTAATAGTCATAACCACCGTTTTTGGTGGAGATGTGTAGGAGTTGTAGTAAGCAGTCGTAGTTTAATTGCAGCCGGTACGACCGACATGCGTGGTGCAATGCATGACAACTGAACCTTTTGCCGAGGATGAGGCTGCCAAACTGCCGGGAGAGCCACAGCTTCAGTGCTTGTGTGAACAACTTCTCGTGGAGAAGCTTTGTGACTAAGTGTGGACGTAAGAGTCTCGAATATCCTACATGCGTCTTCACATTCTTCTTTCTCGGCATGGTTAGCCGGAGGGTCTGTGGCGTTTCAGGTCTGGGCTGTTTGGGGACCTCGATCGAAACGAGACCAAAGATCTCAGATGGGTGCTGGATTATTGGCAGCGCACCAAGAGGAACTGGACGGCTTTCGCACACCTCAGCCTTGATCGGCTTTCTTGCCTGAGGCGATCCAAACCCGGACGCTTCGAGGAGTTCGCTTCTTTGTACTACGGCCGCTTGCTTAGCGACTCTTACCATTCATGCCGCGCAGCTCCATGAGTGGTTCTTGCATTCGGTAGTGCCAACAGGGCCGAAGTCTTGATAGAACCTATTAGCAGAAGGCTATTTCCTGGCCGTCATCGCTGACCAGCTCAAGGCACGAAAGTATGTGCTTTTGACCCACCCACGATCACAACGCTCAGATCTCAATTGATTGATGTTTCCCTGCCGGCATTTTCAAGCTGAGAGCTCCAGCAGAAGCGTACGAAGCCATGCCTGGCTCCAGCTTTGAAAGAGATGATCGGTCAGCTGAGAGAAGTACTCAGTTTTCAATAGTAGTCATTCAGTTGGACAGATCGTGTCTGTTCGCGCATCTGGCTATGCCGACCCTGACTATGCCGGATATCCCATCTGCAATGTACCCTCTCTGGGAGGTGATTTCGGAGGAGCCTTGGCCGCAGGATAGCAACAGAATAGCACATGCGGAATATGTGGCTCGTTTCCTCCTGCATTTCTCCCAGGAGTGCAGTGCCTCATGCATCACCCTTCTCGAGCCGCAGCTTGACTTCGGAATCTGATGCCTCTCGTAGACGGGCCTCGCCGGCTGTACATGCCACGTTTTTCTTTGTCGCTGCAGGCACCTTGGAGTCTTTGTTCGAACCGCAGACATTGCGGGACAGCAACTTGGCCGCGACAGCCGTGGAGCCGTCGTCCTCGGGGCGAGGAGTGTTGCGCAGTCGACCGGGAGACATAGCCCAACCCGTGCCTTGGTCACGTCTTTTGACGTCCAGTCCGACCCCATTTGTGCTTTTGCACCCACTGCGGGCAGCCGTTTCAGCTAGATCACTGTTAGTTGGCCCAGTAGTTATGCCACCAGCACAACCCCGTTAAAATCTGGAAGCGCAGCCGCACAATGTCTGTTCTGGCTTTAGGGGTCGTGTTGCCATTCAAATTCTTTGTCAGGCACTTGTTTGGTAGTTAGCCCATCCATCCCAGCAGCACTCTCTTGAAAGCCAGAAGCTTCGTGGGTCACTACTTCGCCAGGATTTCATCTAAGACTGCATTTTGAAAAGATCGAAGGATCTCCTCAGCAGTATGAAAGTCGGGAGTTTGAGGGGTGCTTTGCACTTTGAACTTCACTTTGGAAGACCAGGCAGCCGAGGTTGCAAGCCAACATCTAGTGAACAAGTCGCATAGGGCATTACACACCTCATCTTACCACGATCGTGTACTTCTTGGAAAGGATGAAGCAGGGATTGAGTACTGCCAAATCCGTTGCGACTTGGTGCTCGTGGGCTTCGGGAAGGCTAAGTGTGCCAAATCTATGAATTCACACGAAAACCTTTGGTGCACTAGTGCCGGGGCATGCTGAGCAAACAACGCTACATTTGGAACAGGCAGGGCATGGAGAAGTTGCGGGCCTTCCTTCGCTGCTTGGGTGCCTCGGCGCAAATCGTAAGCATAACAAAGAAGCGGGAGACACCCAAATGAAAGACATGCGCAAAGAATAAGTTCAAAATGCTGTCAAAGCAAAGCTTCACCTTCAACTTGCTGCCATGCGCACGTTTGTGATAGTTTTCAAGCCGGTGCAAAGACACGATGCATTCTCTGCAGGTGGTTTGCACAACCGCGCTGAGCACGCAGAACGTGCAGCACGTCACTGGCAGAGTTTATGGGAAGAATCATTTCGCAACTTAGGCTCAATGTTATTGGACCTAGAGGGCTAGAGATCAGGCTTTCGATGTGGTGTTTGTGGTTGCACAGCCCAGGAAAGATCTTGGACGTGCGCCGGACAGCAGACAGTTCAACTCTTGGCAGCTTGCATGTAATGTGGTGGCCTGATCTCCTCACTGCGCCAGAAATGAAACCTTTGGATTTCTCGAGGAGCGACTCAGACGGGACACGAAACCTGAGTTGTTCTCGAGACAAGGTCGCGTCTTCGTTGCTCAAACCCAGCATGGAGCCGAAGTCTAAATATCGGTCCCTTGCAGATTTGGAGGTTAACACTTGCGAGGTGAGGATGCCACGTAGGTTTGGATTCCAACTCGTTGTATCCAAAATTGGACCCTGGTTTGCTCGAACACTCGATGAAGAAACCGTGCAGCGCAGTGGGAACATATCTTGGGGCAGAAGGTGTGGCAGCTTTCGGCCACAACTAGGTTCCCCACGTTGACCTTTGCGATCTTGAAGATCTTGATAAAGTCAACCGCTTTCGGGATCAAGCAGTAAGCATGCCCCAGACGATGAATTGTGTGTAGCAGCACCGAACTCGCGGACAAGTCTTGCCTGGAAGTTTCGTCTCATGAACTGAGGTTATGAGGTGCAGGTTTCTGATCTTCTCACAGCCCTGAGCAGCACCAACCGCGAGCGAGAGCGACTGGCCAAAGAGCTGGAGAGCATGCAGCGAACCTTCCAGGCCGGGTGGCCCCTGGCAGCCACACGTGAGTCTTCTTTCTGAGAAAGGATTGCACCCCCTCACCGTCGGACCTTCCTGCCACTGCGAGCACCTTGAGGTTGACTGAGAGCTGCTTAAGTTCATGCCTTCGTGTGCCCCTGCAGTCCGCGACGGACACGCAGCTTTGGCATCGATACGGCCAAGAGCTCCAACTCAGGCGCCCATCCTGAGAGTGCGGTGCAACGACTGCAAGCACGATTGGGAGAGCCAAACAAAACACGTGCCATCAATGCAAAAGTGGCTGCAGGCAGCTGTGGGGTGCTACTTCCGAGCAGTTCAGTCACTGTGCGCCTTTTCTCAATCCTGTTTGGGATTGCGTGCTGGTGTTGACATAGGACCCACCAGGAGACTGTATACGTTGCCGCATGTAACCATGGCGTTGGTGTCCTTCCGGTGCACACCCTGCCGACACCATTACAGACTGTCCAGCAATCCTCGCACGTAGTCGAAATCTCTGTCTCGAGGCAATGCTTCGGCGTCAGCTGGCTGCCGAAGCGGCTGTCACCAAGCAGCTCCGCAAGGAGCTTCTTGAGGCCGCCTGTCTTTAGTCAAAACTACGAACTTAAGAATACGAATGCTCGAGAAGACAGTGTGCAAGAGAGCCTGTCCCAACGTGACATCACTCGGCACTTGCTCGAGTCGTTGTATGTCATTGTCGCGGCTGCTACTGCCGTGTGTACAGAAGCCGTCGCAACAGTATAAATTTCTGCTATTTCTGCTTCAACCTGATTCGATCAGGCACAGCAAAACCACAACGTGGCCGAAGCCAAGCATGGCGATGCGGACGCACGTGCCAAAGAAGCCGACAGGGCCTCAATTGAGATTTCGTGTCGCAGCAGGGGAGCTGGTTTGTTACAGCCTACGCTTTTTCCTACGTTGCGGCCTCACGAGGAGCGCTACGCACAAGGAGCAAAGGACTTTGTCCACAAGCAGGCCGAATGGTTGCACTGATGAACTTCCCTCTGTACGCGATTAGGAATAAACAAGCGGGGTGCTTTGCAGCCTGGAAGCAGGAAGCAGTTGGTGGTATAGGCGGTACCGGATATATTGGTATGTCGACAGGATCTGAACCTATCGCTGCAGTCTTGCGTATTATGTCACTTCCATGTCCTTGTCTAGCCCCCCCCCCCGGCCTGACACTCTAAACCAAAACAAACCATGTCAGCCTCTGCTAAGGGGTAGACAATGTTGAGACGAGGTCGACGATGCGCTGAAGTCACAGTGGAACCAGTTCCAGGAAGAGATGGAGTTGGAAAGGAAGGGCTGGCGGAAGGATGCGGCCGCAGCTATTCCATTGCCCCTGGCAAGAGAGGTGCACCACTTTGGCAAATGCTTCGTTGCGTACGGAGAGCGAACACCCTCAGTTTGCGTGGGTTTGGGATGGGGAGCTTCTAGCAGCCAACGAGGGGAAGGCCTGGAATGGTTAGCGGTGCCTTTTCAGAACATGGTCATATTGTGTCATTCCACAGACTTAGCATACTTGTTCGGCCATATTTTGGACCCATCAGAAACCAGCGTGTGTCAGAAACCAGCGTGCATCAGAAACTGAAGGCGCGTATCAGAAACTGGAGTTTGGAAACTGGCGCGGGAGTTTGGAAGCAATGTTGCGGTGGTGAGGAGAGAGCATTCATGGCCCAACCATGATACAGGCATGGTCTACTAATGCGTTCTGAGCACAGAGCATCCACGGCCCAACTGATGACGTCCATGGTCTAATGCGTTCTGAGCCCAGAGCATCCATGGCCCAACCCTGATGACGTCCATGGTCTGATGCAAGCTGACAAGAAAGCACCCAGGTGGGGGACACGATAACGCATGGTCTGATGCATTCTGACAAAAGAGTATCCATGCAACAACCATGATGACGTCCACGGTCGAATGCGTGCGGAGAAGGGGGCATCCATGGGCCAACCATGATTGCTCCATTCGAAGGATGCGTCTGGTTTGTGAGTCAGACGTTGTGGTCCGACTCAGCGGTTCTAGTTTCAATTTCACGGCTGGTTTCTGAATCATGGCTGATGTCTGATTCGGCCGTTCTGGTTACCGATTTTTCCGCCGCCCCTCCACCTAGCTTGCCAACAGGTTTAGATTGGGGCGTGTAACCGTCCGCCAATCATCACACCAGACCCTGAACAAGTTCTAACATGGTGGTTGGCAGCAGACCGCGCTCAAGCTCAGCATGTGAGAGAGATGCGCATGAGGGAGTAGCGGCACACAGATCGAAGCAAACACAAGGCACAAGGAGAACCACGGTTTCGTCTCATGTGCCCTGCTCTGCACTCTTTTGTAGGACAGGTGCTGTAATGAGCGTCGGAGACACAGTTTGGGCAGGTCGCTCCGTCATTAAGGGCCTGACGCTGGGAGCGTCAGAGCTGGCATCCTGAGCCCCCAAGTCGCGCGAGACACCGATGCTGCAGAATCCCGGGATGCACCACAGAGATGGTGCGACTACCCCAAGGACTAACGAAAGATGTCGCGTGTCGCGTGTGCATCACGAAGTGCTATTTTCCACCATTGCGATGTATTGCGTACGGTATCTGACGAATTCATGGCATAGGCGCAGTTTTTGTGTCTATGACCCTGGAGATCTTGAGTCCAAAATACAGGTATTTGGGGTGCTCGTTTGTCAACCATGTTTTGCAGTTGCTTTTGAGGTGACGATGTGCCCACCTAGATCAAAACTTGACTCCAACAACCTGGACAGCTTAACCCCCGAATGCAAAACAAACCAAAACATGATCGTTGCTTGTATGTTCTGGCTTACCTTCAACGCGAAATCTGGGAGCAGCGCAAAATCGAGCAAAATCATCGAAGCTTGCGTCACAGCTTTGGGAGTCAGTGGAAATCTTACGTCTGGCGCGAGGTGCTGGCTGCCTACTCGGACCTTTGGCGCTGTACTTCTGGCCAGGCAGGGCCAAAGACACATGTCTCATGTCGCAGACAGCCCTTGTGCAAGCCAAGAAGGTCCCTGGCCGGCACAGAGCCCAGGCGGAACGAGCATTGAGGCACCCGCCTGCAACGCTGTGGAACTATGGCTGCTTACCCCGCAAGCGCGGCTCCTGCAGCCAGGCGTCTTCGGGATCTTGATGCCTACGCCGTCCTGCTTCCGCCCCAGGATGAGATGCTGCAGGACTGGAACCCTTTCGTACCAACAGGGCTTGTCGCCAGGATATCACCAGGAAAGCTTCAGCACATTTCGGCAAGGGCGGTGCTAGTTGAGAACTCTTGCCTTCACTCAGCATAAGCACGACTTTGGGGACGAGAGGTTTCCATTCGACTTTTTAGAGCGCTTAGATTTACAAGCCTCGTGATGGGCGTTGCCGTGCACCAAAGTTTGCTCACTCCTTCTGGCAGGCTGCCCTGCAGCACCATCTCTAGTGTGGATGATTAGACGGCATGCAGGACGAAGCTGGCAGCTCTAGTAATTCAGCCCTTTCCACCAGGAGCCTCTGCGGCGTGCAGTCGGTGAGGCCGACGCAAGAAGCATGGCAGAGGCCGGTCTTCGAATCATGCTGCTGCTCAGGATGCGAACAATGACCATCATCGTCATCATCATCGAGATCGTTACGAAAAAGCGTCATTTTGGTGACCATGACATCATCACGAGCCTCCATCTAGATAGTTTGTCGTCCCAGGCATGATGGTCAACTCTAGTTGCACAGGCATTTTTCGCCCTGGCCCGCACGAGCCGTTTGCAACACCCCCCCCCCTCCCACGTAGCTTGCCGCAACCTGCAGGACACGGGAATCGAGGCCGAGGCTTTGAGCCATCTGAACATGTGTAAAATCGTTCTCTAATCGCTGCAAGAGGCCCGGTGACCAGGAGAAACAGTTTCTATTCTTCGATATCAGTGCACCACCATGGTATGCCAAAGTGGGAGCGTCTTGCCGCCCGGTCCGCTCGACGGGGCCGGGATGTCACGTGGGAAACGTGACAGAGTCTGCAGTGCAGAGTGCCGGCAACTGCTGCCATGGTCCGCATGGTGAAAGACGTCAAGCTATCCCCAGCCCCAATGAAGGCAATAATGATCGGTGTTCTCGGTCCAGTGCTGCGGAGGCCCTGGTGGAAGAGCTGCAGCAGTGCCACACCCCCGCTCAAAAGCGGCTTCTCTGCAGTCCATCCTCAACTGCAGACCAAATTTTTGTGCCGCTTTCGTAAACTGCAACTTGGGTTGATACTTGCTCGCAGGTCGAAGAACGATTTGAGCGGCTGGGGCATGACGACTCAGAGCTCGCATCCGCGAAGTCACGTGCCAGCTGCCCGCAAATCTTTAATGTGGCGTCGAAAAGGGATGAAACAGGGAAGAGAAAGAACATTGACATGCTTCGTGTTTCAGTTCGTGCGAAGCCCTCGCGCACAAATGCATACAAATTCCCTGCCGCCGCGTGAGTAGGCACGCTCGAATCACTAGAGACTCATTCGAAGCCGATCTACCCTAAACCCTGAAGTCACATCCTCTTGAGCTCGGAACACGCCGTGGCCGGAATCATGGTGCCAGTTTGTCATGCCACGCTATGCTTCTGAACGGAAAACTTGCACGCATCCCTCACCCGCTCTAAGGTCGCTCCGTGCCCGGACAATGATTATGGCCTCCGAGAATCGGTAGCCACGGAAATGCCAAGAAAGAGCACCAAAGCTGTGCTCGGCCAAAGACCTGTTGCATTGGAAAAAGACGGGAGAAGCAGACATGGAAAAAATCAGAGCCTCGTGGGCGTGGCGAGAGCACAGGGCCCGCACATGGAAGGCTGGTGCCGCCCGAGTCCGTGGATCTCCACGGCTGCATCTCGACGAAGTCGTTGCTGTCAAGAAGATCCATGTGCATGCAGGGCCACTGATACCTTCTGAAAGAACCGTAGATCACAGGACAAGGCTTGCCCTGTGTTCATGTTACTAACCCTTAGCAAGCGGTAGAGGCTTACAAGTTCATCGAGCATTGCCCTGAGAACCATCACCGTGATGAGTGACACGAACATCGTGCCTCTACTTGTGATTTACAACCTCACCAAAGCCGCGTCAAGGACTCCGGGCCATGTGTTTGCAAGGGGAGCCAGACTCTTCTTTCGGGTGCCAAAACTACGCCATTTCTGGCAGGCGACCTCCTTATCTCTCGGCACTCATCCATGAGTTGCCAGGGGCTCAACGGCTCAACCTTCCCGTCTTCGAAATCGTCTTTTTTTTTGGACCTGACAGCGGCCACATGCAGCCACAAGGTATCGGCACAAAAAGACTCGCAAGTTGTTCATCCGAGCTCGGCCGCTGAGTTGTTTTCCGCTTTAGCATCGTGAGAAGGACAGACAAGTGCGTCTCAGGTTCTCTACAACGGAGAAGTTCAAAAGGCCCCGGGACCAAGCCGCAAAGTCAAGCAACTCAGTGAGATCACCTCGAGGTTTGCCACGGGCATGGTATGGACTTGCTCTGTCCTCTTGAAAAGCTGCTTGGATCAACACAGGCACGTGTTCGCCTTCTACCTCTCTTGCACTGCCTGATTGCATAGGTGGGAGGAACTGGTGGCAAGATTCACACCATCTCCAGAGTTTGCCTCTCAGAGCAAGTTGCCGCTCGGAGATCGAATCGCACTGGCTCGCAAGGGCATGTCCCGTTCTTTACGCTGCATACGACTTCCAAGCTCCCAGGCAGCTGCTTTTTGCGTTGCGTGGAGTTGCACAAAAGTTGCACAAACCATACAGCACTGTCAGGTGTTTGTGCAGGCAACACACTGCAACACCAAGACAGGTTTGCAAATACCAATCCAGAGCCGTAAGCAGTCGCAGAATGTCGCAGATTATTGAAGTGCGTTGAGCCTTAGTTTCAGATGCTCCCGAATCTTCCGACAAGCCTCGTGCCCGAAGAAAGCTAAGAAGCAGACAATTTTCAATTCTCTTCAGATAATGCAGGAAGGAGACGATGCCGTCGTGGCACAGCTGGCCACAAGAAGTTTGGCACTGGCTTCGACAGAGAGCCGACCAAGCCGGCTCGGATTTTCCCTCAGACGAATGAGGTTTTAGCCAAATTCCACATTTGGCTAACATTTCAAGCCGCGCAGCAATGCCACATGCTTCAGGGTTGGGCATCTTTCGTGCGTACGTGTTGTTAAGCCCCTTTGAGAAGATCGTTGAGGCCAGTGCAGTACCTGCAGCAGCCATTGTGAGCTCAGGTGTTGCAGCAGCATAGGATTGACGGTCAGGCCGAAGTCTCAGATGCCTGACAATCCAGCATGGAACGTTCAGCATGGTTGGGGCTTGCTCGGTGTTGCATGTGCTGCTGTTCGGCTTCGAGATGCTTCGAGCATCTATCAAAAGCCCCAAAGCTTGCAACCTCCTGGACCCGCGCATTTGTCAGCGTTCCGTCACTCAGTCTACAGTATATACTCCATGTATCTCCATGCTGGCGAGCTTGGCTTGCTAGCTTGTGCAATACCAAGAACAGCAGGGCATGAGCTCCAAAGCCACAAGCCGGCACAAGTCTCAAATGCGACAGCGAGTGCTATGGCTACAGCTGCGGCGATCTGTCGAACATGGGCGTCAGCGGCTTCCTCGGACTCGGGCCTTTGCCCAGCAACTGCTGTTGCATCAACCTGTAGTGGATGAGATGGTCACAGGTGTCTTTCCTATGTAGCGGGTCGGGAATCATATCCGGAGCGACCTGCAGAACTTGTCCGCCGTTGCTTCCTCAGCCTTGCCATCCAGGTGCGCGCACATGGCCGCAGAATGCTTGAGGACATCTACGACCCTGCCTGGAGGCCAGGGACCAGCTCAGTAGAGATATATTATATTATGTTATATTACATTATATTACATTATATTATATTATATATTATACTACATTATATATTATATTATATATTAAATTATATGAGGTCATCAGAAGCTTTTGGAGGCACCGGGCCATGGACCCGCCTCCTCAGCTTCCCAAAGAGGCACATGTTCGCGACAAACATGCTGTGCCTTGGATGCAGTAAGTCAGTAAGAAAGTATCAGCCTGAGTTGCCGCGGAGGTATGCCATCCGGTTCAAAGAGATTGAAACAGACATGCTGCACAGTGATGCATGGAGATTTCTTTTCTGACAGGTTGGTGGTTCCAAGTTGATCTAAGATGACCAAAGACGAAGCAGTGTATAGTCGAATGTGAGAACATTTCAGGATTTGCATCAGTCGGCATGAACCCCCGAATTGCATGCACGGCTATAATCTATAATAACTAATAACCTATAAAGAACAACAGAGTAAAGTTTGGGCAGAGTATAGCAAAGTTTAGCTGTAGCAGAACTCTTCAACTCGCGGCATGCAGTCTGCGACTGGGCCAAAAGCCTAATGAGCTGGCAGAGTGGCGTGGTGGCATCCTTCTTGGGGTCACTTACGGGAACGTTGGGGACGCAGCTGAGGATCAGCTCCCTGACAACAGAAGTCACAGCCAGAGCTCAATTTTTGGCGGTTTGTGGCTGGGGATTTTGGGGATTTGGACAGCTCTTGGGGCAGGTGGCAATTCTTTTAGCGCCAGCATCTTTGACAGCTTCTGTGAATTTCAGTGGCTCGCTGTTAAGCAATGCAGTGTTGGCACCGTTTGTCCTTAATGAAAGACTAACTAAATTGCACTGGCTGAGCGTGCTGCTACTCGTGGTCGGCAGTGGGATGGTGACGTCGTCCTCCAGCCACGCAGACCAGAAGTATTCCTATCTGCAACTCTGCCAACTTGCACATCGACCGACCTTTCTTACCTGTGCAATTGCTTTCGCTGCTTTGTCTTTGCTTCTGGCCTGCCACGCGCTGAAGAGACGGACATTGGAGCTCCTTAGCTTCGCCTACCTTTTTGCGCTCATCGGTGCCATCGACCTCTTAGTCACGAAGTTCACCTTGCAGCTGCTGCGCCTCGTGGTGGTTGGCAAACGTGATGCACCTGCCGAGGGGGTCGTGACATTCTTCACAGTCATGACCTTGACGTTGCACGTTGGCGTTTTCGGTTGCCAAGTTGCTGCTGCATATTACAGGAAGGCCCTGACAAGTCTGCCCTTGTTTCTTGGGAGTGGTGCCCTCATGCAAGTGATTGTCTGTGGTACCTTTTTCGACGAGTTTCACAATTTCGGGCTGAACCAGCAACTCCTCTCCTTCGGCAGCGGTCTGCTGCTGGTCATGACGGGTATGATATGCACAAGTGTGGCAACCAGCAGTTTTCGGGAAGAGGTGCCAGCATCAGCGCCGACCACACCGGAAGACCCCGACATGGAAGCGGGCAAGGGCACAATGGCTGTCCAAGATGTGCAGACAAGGCCTCGAACGCCAAGCAATGTCAGCCCGAGCTCAAACCGGCGGTCGGCCGTTATTACTTCTGGCCTTCTGGAAAGGAGTAGCTCTTCCATGTCCTCTGCTGATCTCCTTCTGCTGGGCGACATCCAAAGAAGTGCTTTGTGCTTCGGCGGGCGTATTGCAGTCGGAAGAGTCGCAACGTCGAAGATCAGCTTGCACCGCCGCTTTGCTTCTGACAACTTCCTCCTGATGCCGCTCGCATCCCACCAGGACTCCGACATCAAGGAAGGAAGCTCGGCGATCTCTCCGGTAGGACTGGAGGGTCCCGGAAAGCCAAGTCGAAGTCTAAAGTAGGGACCTGCCACTTGCGGGTAGTGAGTCGTACTGAGGACGGCTTGGTCGAGCAGCCAGCGCACCTCCAGGTACGGAGCCCATGGACATCGGGATCCTCGGCTTGCGCCGAGAAGCATCAAGCTGACACGATTCGGCACTTTTTGCGCCAATGGCCAAGCTTGAGATCCAGCTTCTCGTGATTAGGATGGAATTTGTGGTCTCAGACTTCTCGCTGGCTCTTTTCAGGGCAAGCACGAAGTCCGGCTAGTTGATTCGACAACTGAATACACTTGGCCAGAGACCCACTGCTGGTTTTGTTAGGTGCCCCATAATGTTTCTATCCGACGTCAGATATGGAAGGAAATACGGCAAGACGATTCCAAACAGGAGCGCGAGAGCTTGCTGAAAAGGTGTGTGTGTGTTCCTGTGCCAGTGCCAGGATGAGAAGTGCAAATGACTAGAATCAGTGAGTCTGGGAGGAGTTGACGTTCACTGATCACATGTTTCCCCAGCCTGCCTCCCCGAATAACCCCGACACAACCATCGTAAAGAGACACTTCACATGAAATCGCCGGTTGCAGTGTTTGGTGAGGCTTTGCTTTCTTTGCTGCTACCTTGTTATGTCGCTTCATCCCTATTGACATGTATATTAATACACACACACACACATATATATATATATATGTGTGTGTGCCCGATACCTTTAGGGTCTATTTAACCACGGTTTTATATTTGCAATACTAAATGCCTAGCTAAATAGTATATGGCTAAGTGGTTCATTGCATAGACCAAAAGCCAAAAAGTTTTGGACCGACCGTGACATATAGTTTAATATCGAATTTCCATGTCTTTCAGAAGCTTGGCTGGGTGAAGGGCAT